GACTGAACTGAGCAGAATGGTCGCACCCGTTACGCGACGGTTTTATTATCTGCCGCCGAGGGCGCAACCTATGGCGCACCGGTTACGCGACGGTTTTATTCTCGGCCGCCGAGGGCGCAACCTATGGCGCAACCGATAGCAGACGGTTGTATGCTCGGCCGCCGAGGGCGCAACCAATGGCGCAACAAACAGGAGACGGTTTTATTCTCGGCCGGAGGATCGGGGGAGGGAGAGGGAGGGGAGGGGGGAGGGGGGAGGAGGGAGGGGAGGGTGGGAGGAGGGAGGAGGTTTCTCGGATCGGCGCCGCGCCCCCCCTGGCGGCGCCGATCCAAGAAATCCGCACGGACCTCCAAAAGTGGATGTTTATGACGTGTTCCCCCAGAGATCCGACGTCGTGATGTTTTCAATACGGGGTCCGTGGAGGTCTCGGCCCATTCCCCAGGACTGGCTTTTCACCCTGAGTCGTTTTTGGGGGGCGGCCCCGGGGGCTCGGCGAGGGCCCCTCGAGGTCGAAGAATACGAAAAACCTGCGTCTTGATTGTTTCAAGACGTTGGATCTCTGGGTCCTTCCTCGCGTTTCGGGGCTCGGGTCGTTCTCCGGGGCGAGGACGACTCTCAGGAGGGAAAAAAGCACACAGACACAATCAATCGTGGACTTCCCCGAAAATATGTGAACATGTGGAAAGTGGGGGGAAGACAAAAACTCAGAAAATGTAGTAAAATATTCGGAATCATGTTATTTGTGTGTATGTTTTGTGTGTATCTCCCGAGGCGATGTTAGTGCGCATTGCGTTTTTTATGCATTGTTTGTGATTGTGTAGTTTCTTTGTGTGTGTTGTGCTATGTGTGTTATTGTGTGTATCATTTGTGTGTATGTGTGTTATGTATGTATGTTTGTTGTGTGTGTGTTTGTGTTAATCCAAGAGCTAAAATAAGCGAACCTTTCCCCCCGTCCGTGAGGGAAGGGGTCTTTTCACCAGCGTTGAGAAACCCCTCCGTGAAGGAAGGGGGGCATCGACGCAGCGTTGGTCGAAGTTGGGGAGCACGCGTTCCCGCGATCTATGCAATGGCCTTACACATGCCCCATCATTTACTTCCATGCTTACCTGTTAGTCCTACGCCGTCCTTGTTCTGAGCGCGGATGCCTCGCGTTTTTCTTTGCGTGGTGTATGTCATCATATTGCGTTCCTGCTCCTTCTGCCTCTCATTCCCTTTCGTTTCCGACGTGTGTTTTGCATTCCCTATGTATCAAAGGCCTTGTTTTCTTCCCTGCTACGGTCGTTTTTCCATCGGCTTCCCCCTGGATGCGTTCAGTGCAACGATGATATCCGAGCACGCCTGTGGATTGCCACGTTGCTTCCCATCCTGCTTTTTCCTTGCGGCCATCACAGTTTCGCCGTGTCGCCGCTGGTATTTGTCCTCAGCCTTCTCATCATCGTTTATGGACAACCCCCTGGCCGCCTGCCCCTGCCGCTGCCCTTGCCCCCGACCCTTTTCTCCCCCCACCGCCACTGCCAACCCCCGCCCCACCTCCCTCCCTCCCTCCCTGCATGAAGCGGGGCCCTTGTGAAGCACGCGCTCCGACTCGCCAGCGAAGCGCTCCCCAACGACGTTTTCCAAGAACCACTAGAACCCGCTCAGTTCCACCATCGGCGCCTCGTGAAACAAACGTCCCGTAAAAATATCACGAAGTCGGTGCGGAAAGGGGGTCCGGGATCGGGCGATGTCAAATTGCGTAGAAAAATGAGCGTGAGCGGGGGGCAGTAGGTAGGAGGTTCGCAGGAACGGGAGAGATTTCGGGTGGGTCGCGAAGGCATGGGGAGACGAGCGGAACGAAAACGAACAAAACAAGGCATATATTTTGCCAGGGACGGGGCGCCGAAGTCCTGTAGGCGTTGAGAATAATTGCGCCTATTGTTCCTCTGAGATTTGGGTGGGCTTGGGTGGGCTTGGGTCATCGCCTCATAAGAGAAAAGGCGTTCGGGCCACCACAGATCGGGAGTCAAGGGAAGCCCGCTTCTCCGCTGCTCGGGTCGGTGAGCTACGGGGGCGGGGGGGGGGGAAACCAGAACGGTTTCCTCCGTTCTGCTCGGCCGAATGTTTCGCCCCCTCCTTATTATGATCCCAACCCGTCTTGTGTTGGGTCCTCGTTTTGAAGAGACAGCGCCCCGCGTCTCACCTCACCTCGCCTCCCGCGTTCCTCCCCGTCCTCCCCATCCCCTCCCTGCCTCTGCTCTCTCGCATGCCCATTTCGGCGCACCCCTCGCACGCTTCGTGACCCCATAGGGTGCTCCACCGAAGGTCCCAGTGGCAGGGCCCGCGTGCAGTTCCACCTCCATTTCGGCGCACCCCTCAAACGCTTCATGGCCCCAAGCGGAGCTCCACCGTCCCATTGGCAAGGTCCGCATGCAGTTCCACCTCCATTTCGGCGCAGCTTTCACACGCTTCGTGGCCCCATCATGCGCTCCGCCCAAGGCCCCAGTGGCAGGGTCCGCATGCAGTTCCACTTCCATTTCGGCACACCCCTCACACGATTCGTGGCCCCGTAGGGCGCTCCGCCCAAGGCCCCAGTGGCCAGGTTCGCGTGCAGTGCCACCTCCATTTCAACGCACCCCTCACACGCTTCGTGGCTCCACCCAAGGCCCCAGTGGCAGGGTCCGCATGCAGTTCCACCTCCATTTCGGCGCACCCCTCACACGTTTCGCGGCCCCATAGGGAGCTCCACCGAAGGTCCCACTGGCAGGGTCCGCGTGCAATTCCACCTCCATTCCGACGCACCCCTCACACACTCGGTGGCCCCATCGTTCTCTTGTCACCTGAAGGCCGTTTGGCGGGAAACGTTTTCTGGTCATTTGGGGGCCGTTTGGCGGGAAACGTTTTCTGGTCGCTTGAGGGCCGGTTGGCGGGAAACGTTTTCCTGCCACCTGAGGGCAGTTTGGCGGGAAACGTTCTCTGGTCACCTGAGGGCCGTTTGGCGGGAAACGTTTTCCTGTCACCTGAGGGCCGTTTGGCGGGAAACGTTGTCGGATCACTTGGAACCGTTTGGCGGGAAACGTTTTCCAGTCACTTGAGGGCCGTTTGGGGGCGTTTGGCGGGAAACGTTTTCTGGCCACTTGAGGGCCGCTTGGCGGGAAACGTTTTCTGGTCATTTGACGGCCGTTTGGCAGGATCATTTTCTGCGAGCCGTTTGGCGGGAAACGTTTTCCGGTCATTTGGGGGCCGTTTGGCGGGACACGTTTTCTGGCCACTTGAGGGCCGCTTGGCGGGAACCATATTCCAGTCACTTGAGGGCCGTTTGGCGGGGAACGTTTTCTGGTCACCTGAGGGCCGTTTGGCGCCAAGCGGCCCTCAGGTGACCAGAAGACGTTCCCGCCAAACGGCCGTCAGGTGACCAGAAAACGTTTCCCGCCAAACGGCTTTCACAGCCGTCAACCCTCTGACACTTTGTAGCACCGCCGTGCTACAAGCCATCGTCAAGTTGCCTCTACGAGGGCGCATGTGGCTGGTTCAATTTCCAGTTCGCTCCATGTTGAGGTGGCTGTGGGGCGTCTTGGAAACCACATGGGGGCCATATTGAATCACTTCGATCCGTTTTGTGTGAGCCCGCGGGCCATCGTAGGCCGTTGGCTGTCACCGACGACCGTTGCGCCATCCAGGGTTCCAGACGCTCGTTAATGGGGGGCGGCAGGGCTGATGATATTGCTCTTCCGCCATCCCCGCAGTCACGCGCGGCTTTGCCTCTGTGTTGGATCTCGGAGTTTCTGTGTCCACGGTGCGCTCCGGGGTACTCTTGTGATGCGGCGCTCGGGTCTGAATGTGCAAGCTGATGGATGCACAGGCGCGAGCAAGCAGGACAATGATAGGAGGGAGCGAGGAGAAGGCAAGAGCTTAAGCGGACAGGACTCGTATTTTCCCAATGCGTCTGGTGTGTACTAATGAAAAAACAGCATGACTAAGGAGGAGGATCAGCAGCAGTGACGAAGACAACCCATGGGAATGCAGCGTGATCGCATGAGGGACAGCGGATGCTGAGAGACAAGGGCAGCGTCATGTGTAGCACATCCTGCACGTAAAATGATGGTGGTGATGGTGATGTTTGATGGCGATGTCGCGGATGATGGTGAGGACACCGATGTGAACCCCTTCCTCCGGGGAGGGGGTCTGCGCATGGACGTCCCAACCCCATATGTGAGGGAAGGGGCGTGCGCACGAATGCCCTGACCCCCATCCGTGAGGGAAGGGGTCTGGGCACGTGCGTGCCAGCCCCTTCCGCGAGGGAAGGGGGCGCGCTTGTCGGCGCCAGCTCACTCTCGTTGTCGTGATCCTCCTGTGGCGCCGTTGCGCACTTCATGCCCCGAGCCGCAGCGGGGCCCGCGGGCCCTTGCAAACCCCGCGGCCCGCGCCGCTGCGCCAGCGACGCGCCCCCGCAGTTGCGGGGGGGGGGGGGGGGTCGCGCGCAGATGGCGCCGAAACATAAAAAGGGGCGAATGGACGCCTGTTCGCATTGTGACCAATGTCACGATTCAAGGGGGATATCTGTCCTGTCCGACAGGAGTGACGGGTTGCGGACTGGGCGCCCAAGAGAAGATGGTGAACGGAAAACCAATGCAATTCGTTCCTGCGTGTAAGAACCGCTTTTGGATGCTCAAAGTTGCAGGCGGCGCAGACGCGGTCAAAGGCCATTTGAAGAGCAGCAGAACCATGGAGGATATGATCGAGAAACTCGGCATTCCCGACACGTCCGCCAACGCGGCGGCAACGCCGACCAGACGGGCGGCATCCTCCGCAGTCGCGGAGGATGATGGCCCCATGCTGAAGCTGAAGGCGAGGAGCTCTGAGAAAGCGGCCAAACCTAAGAAAGCCGCGCCTGCTGCGCGAGAGCCCCGGGAGAAGAAGAAACCTGTCCGCGGGGCCTCTCGTAAAATAGAAGTGCCAGTCAGCTGAGAGCTGGGCGAGCAAGGTGTTCATGAGCTCTGGTGTTTTCTGGACTGTTACGAAAGGTTGTGGGCGCCCGTGGATGACCTGCCATGGTTGCGCGAGCTCGTCGCGAATGAGGTTGCGGGAGGGCGCGTGCCAGAGCCGGAGGGCCTCGGCAACCGGGGCAGCGGCGATGACGAGGGGGGCCCCGCACGCGCGGGGCTTGACCGCGACCTTCGGACTGCGTGGTCCCCGTGCGGGTCGTGGACGACGGTGCTGAAGGGCCCGTTGAAAGGAAAATCGTTCACGAGCCACATCAGGGATATGACCAACCAGAAGTGGCAGAAACGCTGCGAGCTGCTTGGCCGGACTGGCCTGCGCCTTGCAGCGGCGCCCCGCTCAGAGGCGAAGGAAGTCCTACTTGCCCTCGCCGAGGGCCACGCGAGGCAGCGGATGGCAGCGGAAAGTATGTAAGAGCAGCGGGTGTCGCCTGGCACGACGCTGCGCAGTCGCGAAGCGGCGAGCAGCGGGCGTTCGCGAGGGGGGTCGCACCGCGTCCGCGGGGCGACGACGCGAACCGCAGGCGTCAGCAGAGTCCGTGCCAAGTGGTGGCTTTAGCAGAGTGCACGGCCGAATGCGAGCTCGTTTTGCAGCGGCCTGGAACTTGCGCCAGCGTCAATGCCCCCGCAGTTGCGGGGGCCGACGCCGACGACGGCTGCCAATCGCTCATGGGCCGGCCACTATTCGAGTTCATGACGGCCAGGGGCAAGTGGCGCAGCAGCTTGTGTCTTGGGGCGCGGAAGAACATCGCTAACAAACTGTCATTGCTCTTTTGGGGGCGCCGTGCCGACGGAATTTACAAGACTACAGCTGGCGACGCGAAGGGCGCGCACAGCCGCGTTCTTGGAGTCGAAGTCACATTTGACTCTACCCTCGCGCACTTCGGAAACACATTGCGATTGGCCGTTGTTCGCCTTCGCAGATGCGCGGCAAAAAGACAGAAGGGAGGTGGGATCCCCGCCGCGCACGACATATTCTGTCCAGATTTGGCATCGAAGTTGTCGGCGTACGACATAAATATTTTGATGGGCGATTTCGACATGGCCTCGATGTCCGCGGTTCCTCAGTTGAGGAGCCGCGGAATTGAAATCCAAATTGCAGCGGCCTGTTTCTGGAGGAGCCTCGAAGGGTTGCCGATGGCCGATTCATGCGGCATCTGGTTTATCTCGTGCCCTGGGGGGCGCAAGCTTTACCATGCGCCCGAGTTCGTTCACGCGAGAGACGCCAGTGGCATTTTGTACCACGAGTCATCGGTCATTGGGCTGGGGCATAGAAATACCATGCCGCCTTCCAGGGGGTCGCCCGCCGCAGCGGCGGCGGGCGACCCTCCTGTCGCACACTTTCGGCGTGGGATGAACGGCGGGCCCGGGTAGGAACTGGGATGCTTCACCCCCGAGGGTGACGTGGAAAACCTCGTCCGGACGTTTCTGTCTCCATCTGGCGAATCCGCGAGGGTCGCGGCGCTGCGTGCCGCAGACCGCCAGCGGCGCGAAGCAGCTGAAGCGCGGGGTGACACGAGCCACTGCCAGACCGACCTTCTTCCTGCCTTCAGGTGCAAGGAAACGAGGCTGGACGTCGAGATTTTCGAAGTCGGTGGGCTTTGCCGCGGCGGGGCGCACTACCCGCTCACGGTGACGACTGCCTTTCCACCGGGTCGATCTGCCGCCGCAGAGGCCCGGAGAAACGCTCGGAAGCGTGAGCGGCAAAAGGAAATCAAAACGGATGGGGGGAGCGCACGTTGCCGACGGCCCCGCAGTGGCGGGGCCAAATCAGCAGACGGCTCCACAAACGGGCCCTCGAGAGGCCCAGTTGACGCCTCAACAGGCGCCGCCGCGCCAACAGCAGTTGCCGCAACGGCTGCTGCCGCTGCAGTCGCTGATGCCGCCTCCGCGACACCCGCCGCGGTGGCCGCAAATGCGGCCGCCTCGGCATCCGCCGCGCCACTACCAGTCGCCGCAAGTGACCGCGCATGCTGATTGCAGCGGCGGCCGCGGCGTGCAAGGAAGGGGGGGAACACGAGATGGAGGAGTTGGTGGCGGCAAGGTCGACGATGGCCCATGTCGCCCGAGCCTCCGTGAGCCGCCGCGCTCCCAGACGCACCGCTGGCGGCGGGGCCGATGGCCGGCGTGGATCGGCGGCGACGACGGCCACTGGCACGAAAACGGCGATGAATGGTAAAGCGGCGGCCGTGGCTCCGCAGTCGCGGGTCCGCGCCGTTGGTTTGTCGAGCTGGCCCGGCGCCGCCGCTGCTGCGACGCTTCTCCCGGCAGCCCGATCTCGCGCGGACAGGTTGAAAACGCAAGAAAAGCACGCCTGCAATCGCAGGGGGGGGGCAGGGTCAGGCGCTCCCACCGCCAAATATCAAGCGTCGTTTCCGTCCTCCGCACCTCCTGTCTCGCTATTCCCCACCCTTCCTTCCTTCCTCTCCTTCGAGACATTCCCACCATCTCATGCTTCTTTTCTCCTGGCGGGGGCGGTCGCGTTAATGGGCCCCCATCCGTGAAGGGGGTCAATAACATGACC